CCCACAGGAATAATTTTTTTTTCTAGTTATACCAACATGATAACTCTGGTCACAACAGATGCCTCTTGTTCACTTGTAATAATTGTAAATGTGTCCTCAATGAGACGAAATATTTATTCATTGATAGAAATGAAGCACTGCATAGTTTCTCACAAGTTTGCTTCTCATGACTACTGGTGGTTCTAGTGTGTTAAATAAGGGTAAATTCTCAGTCCTTCTTCTTTTCATTCAATTTGAAGAGTCATCATCTGCTGATAAAGCAGAAGAATGATTTATTCATAAATTCTCTTCTAATTTTACTCTCAACTCACCAAAATGTTAATCATTGAAGTATCTTTACTGTGTTATATATGCACATGTCCATACATGGTTTCTGCTATCATCTCTGAATTTTATTTACATTATTCGGACTATTGTCCTCATCTTTGTCGCCATATTTATTACAATGTTTTGGCCATTGTACACTCTGGCCTTCTTCAGGTGGTTGTAATGTCGAACTGAACCCTTTATTACGCTCACTGGGATAGACTGTTCCAGTTCCACGTGCCATGTTTAATGGATGTCAGTTATTAGTTATCTCCTGTTAATTTTCCCCTGAAAGTTCTCCAATGCCTTAATTGGGTATTGAACTCACACTCTTTGGGTCCTGTCACTGTATCTAACTAACACCTTTATCACTGTGCCATGTGTTCAGAGGGAAATTAACAAAGATGAGGACAATAGTCTGAATAATGTAAATAATGTACATAATACCTCATCTCAGAAATATAGACAGATCTCTGAACTTGATTTCCACAAAGCATGTAGACTCAATAGTATCCCTGCATTTGTCTTAAAAGAAATGTGTTCCTGAAGAGTTTGTCAAGCTTTTAAGAATAGTGAAGCTTGGGGTATTGCCTTAGATATCTAAGGCATGACAGGTTTTGGCATGTTTGTCTTCTCCACAAGTTCAAAGTTTATGGTGTTTCTGGCCAAGTTTTTGATTTGATTCAATCTTTCCTATCAAAATACAAAATGAAAGTGGTTTTGAATGACCATTCTTGGACCTATTTTGTACCTAATTTTCCTCAATGGGCATTCATCATGTCATCAGTTCTTAACTTTATACCTATGCAGATGACAACTATTTACTCCTGTCATAATGGTAAATCTGATAGGTTTGATAAAGTTAAAATGGCAGTTGATCTTGAAAATGACCTTCAATTTGTTTTAACTTTTATCAGCATGGCTGACACTAACCTCCAAGAGAGTAACTCCTTTCATGTTCTTGGTCTCACATTTTCCACTGACATGAAGTAGAATGGTTATATTGAATCAATTGCTAGGTCTGTTTCTAGGAAAGTTGGTTCATTGTGCCATGTTAGACAATGTCTTGTACATTTATAAATCTACTATTCGTCTATACATTGAATATTACTGTCATATATTAAGAGAGTCTTGATAAAATCCAAAAAAAGATATCAGTTTCAATCACTTTCCTACCACTGTAACATGGCTTCCCTGTGTCTTTTCTATAAATATTTTCATAATAATTGTTTCGATGAGCTTTCCTCTTTAGTACCTCAACTTCATGAATTTAAGTGCAGTTTCATCATTTCACTGCTGAAATGGCCTGATGTAATAATAAGTTCTATTCTAATAGTTTCTTATCTTTTTCACTTGTAGAACTCACTTTCAGCTTCATGCTTTCCTGTCAACTAATATCTTCAAAAATTTAAATGTAATATCAATCATCATTTTCTGCCTTTTGTTTTGTCCCTATTCTTTTATTGTTCTTTCTCCTCATTAATGTTTTTCAGTTTCTTTCACTCTCAGTAACCACTTGTGTCTTAGTGGCTTTATTACCCTTGTTAGGTTGAAATGATTAAAAAACAAAAACAAAGAAAAAATACTGTGTTCTAGTAATATATGTATCACATTTCAAAAGAAAAAATAATTAAACCTTCATCTACTATAAAAAGATCAAAGGAAAGGTAAAAGACTAATGAAACTTAAAAAAACAACAAATTTTTCTCTGTCTTTTTTCATTTCCATCCTTTCTTATATTTTTCTCTTCATTTTTTTTTTTTTTAACTTCATATCTACTTTCACGCATTCTTTCTCCACTTCTTCCTTGCTTTTCTTCAGTTTTGTTGTCAACTTTGGATGCAGCACACTGATACTAGCCTTTCATCATAGACAACCTAAACATAAATAATCCACTCATTTTTGACTGATATTATGTTAGTTTTTGTATATTTTCTCTGTGATACTGATGTCAAGCAAGTCAAAATCAAACAACAAAGTGGAATCCTATAAATCTTTTTTATAGACATTCTATTTAATTTTTTCTTGGAGTGAGTGATTTATAAATGAGCAATCGTGAATTTATTGCATTAACATTATTTATGTTGCCAATGAAGTAGTTCTATGGGAAGTCCATAAAAAATGTTATCTACTGACCTGAATTTTATTCTTGCATTAAAATAAAAAAAGAAAAAAAGAACACTGATTTCCTTCTGAAATCATTTCTTTGTTCTAGTTTTCCACAATAAAATTCATGAACACACATGTTGAAAGAGTTCTTGGTATTGACACTAAGGACTGATTTAATATTTGTTTGGCTTGGTCTGTAAGCTTAAACAGCTTACAGATGAGAATCTAGGCCTTAGATAACTTTTGCATCTAAGCCTATCTTAATTTATTTGAATGCTGGTGAATTTCTAACATCAAATAGAAATCATATTTACTGAATAAATCTACTATTTAAGAGACATCAAATATTACTATAAAAAGCTGATGTTTATATTTTTTGTATATAAGCATCTTAATTCACTAGCAAATAAAATTTCTTTTGTGAATAAGATAATGTAATTTTGTTTGCATTGTAATGAGGATAAACTATGAGCTACCAACTGATGAAAATCATTTTTCAAAGTGAATTATGCCATAATATTCTTGGTAGGGGTTTGCAATTATCCTACATTAAAAATGAATTTCTAACAATCTAAAACATTCATCAGAATGATAAATAATAGCTTCAAATGCTCTACTGATTTTTTTTCCTGTGCCCTAAATTCTGACCTTTGTACTTAGTATGCCAAGGACCAATTTGTCATACTTTTATTTATTTTTTTTATACGAGAATTTTTTTGAAATCCTCACAATATTTAATATTGTTGAAGTTATCATTAACAATTTTTGTTGAGATTTACAAATTCTACATTTTGTTTAGTTTTGTAAACCATTTGATAAAATTTGAATAAACTGATTTGTTTGGAAAAAATACTTTGGCAAAACCCCTACTTCGCAATTTAATAATTTCTTTAATTTAATGTAATTTTATAAGACTTCATGGTAAACAGTATTTTTTTAAGAAAATTTATTTTTTCTGTTTTCCTTTTTAACAGCAGAGTTACTCTCTGCTGTTAAAAAGAGCAGGATTTAAAAAAAAAAAGATTAGGATTTCTTACTCTTGGGCATGCAACATACAAATGACCATGCATAAATATTTCTTTCTGGAGTCAAATTCCAACTTTTTGAAGCATTTGGCCTTGTGACTTTTTTATAGTTCTTATAAATGCAGGGCAAACAGGACATTAGATTTATATATATATATATATATATATATATATATATAAGATATGCAAAAAAAACATTATTGCATTTTTATTAAATAAGTATTTGTTGTTTTAATCATTGAATTGTTTTTAAAATAGTGGGAGTATTTTGTATATTAAATAATAAAACTTGAAATTTTTCCCAAAAATTTAATGAAAATTTATTGCCATAAGCTACACACCCTAGTAAAATCAACAGTTCTTTGTACCCTCTTACTGGTTTGCACTTTTTTAAAATTTGGTTTCCATAAATCAATATATGGCTATTTTAGAGGGTGTGACAGATGGATGGAGGACAGACTAACAGAAGCCATAGAATTTTATATATAGATAGTTTCTCTTTACTTTTGAACACCATAATTACTGAACTTTAAATGGTCAGGTATTTTTTGATAATAATCCATCCATCAATCTCACAAATATTATTGTTAATTCATATCAACTTACATATGAACATTTATTTTGTTTAATACACTTATTTATTTTACTGTTATTAATTAATTTTTTATCTTTTATAAATTGTATTTTATGCATAGTCATCATAATTAAAGAAATAAACCATTAATATACAAATATAACCAGTTCTGCAATACAATAGTGGTACTTTGAAATGGTTTAATCAATTTTGGCTAAAACTATCTTGATCATAACATTTCAATAATTAAAAATTCTTAAAATTAGTGAAACTGCAATGTTTAGGCTCAGCATTAACACTGAAGTAATTGGATATAGAAAGAAGGAAATTAGTGAGGTCATTTTATATATATATATATATATATATATATATATATATATATAAAGGCAAGTAATAATTTAGATTTATAATTTTGACAATGAAATAAATCAATGAAGATGATGTAGCAAATGAAACCCAACTATCTTTATGCTATTATATGTTGATTGATTCAAACTAGTTTCCTTGTCATTTAAGTTTTTATCACAATATTTAGGCTACTGTACCCACTAGCTATCTTCAGCAAACCTCTGAGAATATCAAATGGCACCTTTTATTTTTCATCTACAAAGGTATGATATGAATATATCTACATATGGATCCGGTTAACTTTTCTTATTCAATGTAAGAAACATTTGAAAAAAGCCAAAAGGTATAATGGCCAAAACATTGTGATATAGGCAACAAAGATGAGGAAAATAGTCTGAATGAATCAATGTATAATATTAGAATACAACTATCAATTTCTGGAATCCAAACCAAGATAGTTATCTTTTGAGGCAACTCAACTATAAAGCAAGATCAAGTTAGTTTCAATACTCAAAGAGCCGCATATCAATATCCCTTTTTTTTTTTTAGAAATTTGTATGGCAAGATCTAAGATGCAATAATGTAATTTTAGAAAGCTTGAATTTTTAACCTTGAGAAATGACAAATAAAGAACTTACCAAATCCTTCTGTGAATTCCTTCATGGTAAGGTATCCATTTTTGTCTTCATCTAGAGAATCAAAAACCTGCTCCAACAGTTCAGGTGTTAGTGGCAATTCTGATTGCATCCTTTGCATATCAAGTTTGTTTATGAATCCTTTTTGTTCCTTGTCACACAAGGTGAACAATTCTTGTGCCTTTTGAACCATAATTTCTTGAATTTCATCCGAGGTAAGTTCCTCACTAATTCCAAGCTGACCTTCATACATGGCCATACTGAACACACGTGTACACACACACATATATACGTATGTATAGATATAGACAGATATATATATATATATATATATATATATATATATATATATATCAACAGGTTACTTTTTGTGGTAATATGTATTGTCTACATCAATAAATACAATTTGTAGTTATCAGCCAGGACATCCATGCCTGCTTTTCACATGAATGCAGAGAGTTGATTTCTTCCATTATGCCAAGGAATGATACAATTGTCAGACTACAAGTAGAAGAAATAAAATAAGTGTTAACTTTTTAAACAATAAGTTTACATAATTAATTTAATATGACAGTTGTGGTTTAGGACCAACTTAACAAATTTTTAAACCAATTCAGCTGATAGCAATTTTAGTACTTTTCAAAATTAAAATTTGCAGGGTGTATCAAAAATACTTAATGATTTGCAGACATATGTTTATATGGACTTTTGTCCTTGATTTGGTGTGAGGAACCCATTCTCAAAGTTTGTAAAAGTATTTTTCATACACCCTATATATGTGAATAAAGACAAATGGATAACTTATAATAGCCAATGCATTTGTCCTCTGATGGATTTAATATTTATGAGTGTTTCTTAAAATTAAAAATTTTGAAAAGCTAACATTTTTATTTATAAATACTTGTAGCAAAATAAAATCTTTACATTCACTTTGATAAAGTCCATCAGAGCATGAAATGCATTGGTTAAGGTAAGTTTTCCTTTTATCTTTATTCATATTGCCCTTTTACAGATACATTTTTACTTATATCTCAATATATATATATATATATATATAAGTACGACAACAGTATCCATAGCAGATAAGTTCCACAACATATGATAGATGGTGAACTCTGCAAACCATATGTACAACATATGTCCATAAAATTCTCATTGGGAAATCAACACCCTATTTTAAAATTATGTAACTGAAATTTTTAAAACATTTAAAAAATGTTTTTCTTCTTATTTTTGCTAGAAGAAAAAATAGCATCAACCTTTTCCCTATATATGTCAAAATTATATATATATATATATATATATATTGTCAAAAATTTTTCTTAAATAATATTTAAAAATAAATTTAAAAAAAAATGTGACCTGGTAATATACATACTTATACTTGATATGAAAAAATAATTTTATATACAGTAAGTAATTCTAGTACATTTACTTGTTTTAAAAGAAATATAGTCTATTAAAAATTAAAAGTGAAAATATTTTAAAATCGTAGTTAAATAAAATATATTCTAACTTAAACATCCCCCAAAAATCTTTAAGTATACAAATAGAAAAAATGCCGTAAGAATTTTTTGCCGTTAATAGAATTTTTAAAAAACCCAGACGACATGCATTTAACGAATGTCAGAATTCGTTGAAAAATACATCCCTACCCTATCTAAACATAACCCCTTTTTCGAACGTAACTTATAACTGATACGATAAAAGTTAATAAAAATGAACACGCTACCACTCCTTGTCTGAATGATTGGATCTCTCTGTATCCTTGGAAACAGTGAATTATGAATTTTCTGTGCCTTTAAAACTCAGTAAATTAAAAAAATAAGTTACTCCAAAATTCGCTTGAGGATGAAATGGAACTAATGTTTTTAATTTAATTACAAAATTAAATTTGAAGCTTTTAGCTTCCATTTTTGAAACATCGCTATTACTGTGTAGCGATAAAACCCTATTTTAAATCAGTTATTATATATATATATATATATATATATATATATATATATATATATATATATATATCTATCTATATCACTTCTTGGTCTTTTGGCTGGAATGAAAGTATAATTCTTGTTCTCTCTTCAATTTGGATGGGAGAAGCCACCTGATTCTTGGTATTCCAACCCTGCAGCAGCACCTTCCTTACTGCAATAAGAAGTGAAGTCGGTGTAAATATCAATGCCAGCATGATAGTGGTTGTGGGGATTTGCAATTTTTATCCTTGGCTCATATACATGCGTATGAACACCACATGTTAAAAAGGACCATGTATCATATCCTGTCAGTGGGGAGGTCAGGGAAGTACTATTGCTTCTCATTCTTTTGGCTCGGATGAAAGTGTAGTATCTGTTCTCCCTCTCAATTGTGATAGAAGATGCCTGATTACAAGAATTTCAACCCTGTGGTATCAGCTTCATTGCAAAAGAGGTGGGAGTTGGTGTAATATTGACGCCAGTGTGACAGTTGTGGAGACTGGGAAATTTTTGTGTTTGGCTCTTATAAATATGCTTGACATGGTTAGCAAGCTTTTCTTATTAGAACATTTATGACTAAATAGCAAGTTCAATCCTCACTGAATCCCCCATATTTTTGGCTTTGTGCCACCTCTAAGCTACACTTAGAAAAACTCTCTCTCTATAGGCACACCCATAGAGGAAAAAAATGACTGTGTCATGGCTTGCTTTAGTGGGGAGGTCAAATAAATAAACATAGAAGTGGATAGTTATTAAATTAATGTTTATTTTAATCAGTAATATATCCTCATAAGCCATTTTGATGACAGAGAAGACAATCATACTAAAAATATATTTGATAAACAACCCATAAAAAATAAAATTAGAAAAACCTATTTCATTAGTCAGTGAACAAAACTTAATTTTAGCTTTCCTTTTCAAGATTTATTGGCTCAGACTGAGGACATTTGAACTTTATTATTTTTTAATATTTTCAGAATACTATTCTTCTTTATGTTATGCCTTCATATTGTTTTTTTATTTTGTTTTTATCTTACTTATTTGAAATAAATTTTGAAAAATCATTTTTACTTAATAAAAATTTTACAGATTGAGCCAACTACAGATAAGTGAAACTGTGGTTGATAATTATGTGAATGGTGAGGTTATTGTGACTGTGTGTGCATGTGTGTATATATATATATATATATATATATATATATATATATATATATATATATAGAGAGAGAGAGAGAGAGAGAGAGAGAGAGAGAAAGAGAGAGAGAGCATGTGACTATAAGCATACATTTTTATTTGATGTTTTAAAATTCATTTATTAACATTTAAAATATGACAATTCATTTTAGGCAGAAAAAACATAAACAAAATATTTCACATTTAACTTTTGAGCTATATACTTTAAATTCAATTTATCTATATTAAAAGTTATCATACTTCAAAAGAGGTAATTTTCATAATTACAAATTATCAAAATGAAAGTTCCAATTATAACATTAATATGGGTAAAAATCATAATCATGAACATACACATATGTAGACATCTTTATAAAAAATAAAACAAGATATTCATTCCAATGGCTAACAAATATTAAACATACTACATGAGATTTGATTATGCAAGTCAATGTTTTCACAAAATTGGTATTAAAAAATATAGCCTCAAAACAGAAATAACATGTAATATTACAGAGCAATGAGAATACAAAATTTTGAAAAGAAATCATAGAACAATTAAAAAAGAAATGAAAAAGACTGGTAAGATCAAGAAATAACTAATTTTAAGAATCTTACAAAAAGAGACTTGAGAAAGATTAAAAGGATAATACGCAAGAAAAGTGGACCAACTAATAATAAAATATTTCAAGAAGCTGGTATTTCAAATGTAAACAGATATAGATTATTAAGAATATTGGCTAATTTTATGAAAGTAAGTAAACTATAATCTTTAAGTAAAAAAAAATCACATAGTGGACCAAGAACTACATACATGAAAACTGAACAATAATTTTTAGTGGAATGATGAGATATATTGGATGCATGGCTGAGCTAGAGTTTGGATACATCATAGTCAATCAACAGGACTTAGAAGATAACAGAGAAGAGATAGACTAATGTTTTGGGTTAGTATTTTAAAAAGTAAAATTACAGATCCCTTCAAAGTTGATAACAACAATATAATTGTATAGAATAATTAAAAGCTCTTGATCAGGTCTTTTGAGTTGTACAAGTTGCAACCAAAAAAGCATTGAGCTAAAGAGTATATTCATGCAAGACAATGCTCCTTCCTATTCTGCAGAGCTGATTTTCTGACCTTTCAAAAAGCAAAAAAGAAATGGTTTCAAGAGTACTAAATTAATGGAATGACTTCTAATCTTTTGTAATATTAATTTAATACTTGTGGTTCATCATTAAAAGAGATGTATATGAGAACAGAAAACAAACTTCAAGCAAAGATCTCTGGGGGGAAAAAATTTAAAAAATGCTGCAAGTAATATTAAAGTAGAAGCAATAGAAAAATTAACAAAATCAATGAATGAAAAACTGATGAAGATTATGAAATATAAAGGAAAATATTTGAAGAAACAATGATGAAGATAGGTAGGAAGATATACCAGCATGCAACTGCAAAAGAACTTGGAATTTAATAACAAAGAATACAAGCAATCCTCTCTAAAATAGAAGTGTTTTGGATTGACAATAATATAGTCACCCTCAAAAGCATAGGATAATACAGAAACTAATCAGGACAGCAATAAATAACTATAAAAAAATCTCTAAGGTAAAAAATGGGTGAGTGCAATTTATCTAATTTGGTGTAAGTAGTTAACACAAAATGCATACTTTCAGAACATAAATGAGAGAGATCATAGCAGTTAAGAAACTAACATTAATTATCAAAAATATGAAGATTCAATTAGCCAATGAATCAAACTATGTATAAAACTTTCTTCAGCAACAAAATTAAGATAAAACAGCATTTTAATGAGATATTTTTGGAAATATCCTAATGGAAATGACAAAAAAAAAAAAAACACTGAAGGTAAACAGATTAATGCTTTGGGAATACATAAAAGTAATAATTAAAATCAATCAAATGAAATAGATGATAGTTTCAAATATATTTAACTATTGTAATAAA